TTCCAGGAATCCCCTGGATTGCTTGTTCCCCACCATGTTGTTTTTCCAACTGATGTCGGGGTGGTTAAAATCTCCCATGAGGACCAGGGCTTGTGAATGAGCAGCAACTCCTATCTGCCTATGTAGGGCCTCATCCACTTGGTCTTCCTGATTGGGTGGTCTGTAGCACACCCACACTGTAAAGTCTCCTACCCTTCCTTTCACCCTGACCCACAGGCACTCGGTTCTTTCGTCATCACTTGCCAGGTGGAGCTCCATGCATTCTAGCCATTCGTTGACATAGAGGGCAACACCCCTCCTCGTCTCCCCTGCCTGTCCTTCCTGAACAGTTTATACCCCTCTAGTCCAACACACCAATCGCAGGAGTCATTCCACCATGTCTCTGTGATGCCGATCAGGTCATAGCACTGCAGGCTCACAAGCATCTCCAGCTCCTCTTGTTTATTGCCCAAGCTGCAGGCATTCATATAGAGGCATTGGAGTTGGGTCCCTGATGAGGTACCTGGAGCCCCCTGATGATGCTCAGATGTTTCCACAGTAACCAACCCCTCAACAACCCCTGTGCTCCGTCTGCAACCCGGCATGACACCTTAGTCTCTTTCTAATTCACAAGACTGCACGATCTTGCTAGTGCATTCCTCCCCCACAAGCACTGGCGTACTGCATTCCATCTCCCTTCCAGTGATCCTGATTTCACCCCCACCCCCTTTCATACCTAGTTTAAAGCTCTGTCTATGAGCCCTGCCAACTCCCTTCCCAAAACCCTTCTCCCTCTGTGGGACAGGCTATTACCATGCATTTCTATCTTTCAGCATTTTCTCCAGAAAGTAGTTAAAGATATGTAAACCTACGTTTCTGGCCACTGGTAGCCACCAGTGACAGGTCGGTAAGCCAAAAGTGTTGTATTGCTCTTCTGACAAAATTTTAATTGAGATAATTAGATTCTCTCTCCCTGTTTATTTAGGTCATTTTTGTAGGCGCACAAAGATGGTGTGCTAAATTTTAGTCCCTGAGTTGTAAGGTTTCTGAGACAAGAAAAGGACCCAAGCCTTAGGAAACGTCCTTGTAGGGTGGCTATAATTTTGCATGCATGTAGTGAGCAGTGATTCTGCAAGGCACTTGATGTTCTCGGGGCACACGAGAGCTACTGCCAAGGGGCTGTAGGTCTGACTTGTCCAGGCACCATGGGGGCACCTGCTCTTTTAGGACTGTGATTCTCTTGGTAGCTGAACAACTGGAAATCACAAATATCTAATAACCTCAAAGGCCACATAGGCAGTGTATCTGGGTGGGAAACAAGGATTTTAGGTAATATGAACATAGGATATCTGTCAGTTTGCAGAGGGGATCAGGGCAGAGACAAAATGGTGCCTCAAGGGGTGATAAAAGTTGTCTCTTCAGCAGATAATTTGCAGTGTTCCCTGTCCCAGCTGTCAGCAGAGGAAAGGGCAGGAGACTGTCACTGAAAAAACATTTTTTTCAAAGGTCTATTGCTCTCCCACCACCTTTTTTTTTGTCTTTTTTTGGGTTACATCAAAGCCTCAGAAGTCTGGCCTGCAGCCCATCTTTAAAGGTCATCCAGTTGGGGTGTGGGGTGGATTAGTTCTGCAGTCTCTGTCTCGTGCTTGTGGTGGCACCTGCTAGTGCTGCTGTGAAGCCTGGAGGAACAGAGCTAATTACTCAGTAATATGCTTGGGTGTAGTAGGGATGTAGCGTGAGACTTGTCTCCTGTGTGTATCTGATCTGATTCTTCTAAGCGTAGGATCTGTCTGCACAAGTTAGAAGACTGTTTAGAAGTCTGGTTAATAAAGTCCAATGGGAGACAGCTCTCAAGGGTAAGAGGGTGCAGGAGGGATGGTTACTACTCAAAAAGGAAATTCTGGAGGCACAGGAGCGAGCTGTCCCTGTGTGCCGGAAATTGAGCTGAAGGGGTAGAAAACCAGCTTGGATGACAAAGGAGATTTGGGAACACCTCAAAAGAAAAAGGGAAGTCTATAAGTCTTGGAAGAATGGACAGGCATCCAGGGAGGAATACAGGGAGGAAGTTAGGGCATGTAGGAAGACAATCAGGGGGGCAAAAGCCCAACTGGAACTTAGACTAGCCTGCTCTGTAAAGGACAACAAAAAGTCCTTCTATAAATACATTAATAACAAAAGGAGGGCTAAGGATTACCTCCAGGCCCTACTGGACACAGGGGGTACATTAGTCACTAGTGATGAGGACAAGGCTGAGGTCCTTAATGCCTTCTTTGCCTCAGTCTTTAATAATAAGGTTAGTAGTTCCCAGGTGAGCTGGCCTATGGTGTCTGAGAGCAGGGAGGGAGAGCAAATCGAAACTCCTGTGATCCAAGAGGAATGGGTCAAGGATCTGCTTCATCGGCTGGATGCCCACAAGTCTATGGGGCCAGATCGTATCCACCCGAGAGTCCTGAGAGAGCTGGCGGATGTCATTGCCAAACCCCTGTCCATTATCTTTGGGCAGTCTTGGCTCACTGGGGAAGTTCCGCTGGACTGCAGGCTGGCGGATGTTACCCCCATTTACAAAAAAGGACGGAAGGAGGATCCGCCCCCATTTACAAAAAAGGGCGGAAGGAGGATCCGGGGAACTACAGGCCTGTCAGTCTGACCTCGGTGACGGGCAAAGTCATGGAACAGGTTATCTTGAGTGCTATTAATGAGCACATACAGGTTAACTGGGTGATCAGGCCCAGTCAACATGGTTTTGTGAAAGGCAGGTCTTGCCAATCAAACCTGATCACCTTCTATGACACGGTGACCCGCCTGGTTGATGAGGGAAGGGCTATGGATGTAGTTTTCCTTGACCTCAGTAAAGCCTTTGATACAGTTTCTCATAGTGTTCTGGTTGCAAAACTGGTAACTGCTGGCCTGGATAGGCACACCCTCCTTTGGGTTAAAAACTGGCTGGATGGCCGGGCCCAAAGAGTGGTGGTAAATGGGGCTAAATCCGGCTGGAGGCCGGTCACCAGTGGGGTTCCCCAGGGCTCAGTGCTGGGTCCAGTTCTGTTTAACATCTTTATCAATGACCTGGATGAGGGGATTGAATGTACCCTCAGTAAATTTGCGGACGACACCAAGTTGGGAGGCTGTGTCGATCTGCTCGAGGGTAGGGAGGCCCTTCAGAGGGATTTGAACAGACTGGATCGTTGGGCTGAGGCCAATGGCATGAGCTTTAATAAGGCCAAGTGCAGAGTCCTTCACTTGGGGTATAAAACCCCCAAGCATCGCTATAGGCTTGGGGAAGAGTGGCTGGAAAGCTGCCTGGTGGAGAAGGACCTGGGGGTGTTGGTTGACTGCTGGCTTGATATGAGCCAGCAGTGTGCCCAGGTGGCCAAAAAGGCCAATGGGATACTGGCATGTATCAAGAATAGTGTGACCAGCAGGAGCAGGGAAGTGATCCTGCCCCTGTACTCGGCACTGGTGAGGCCGCACCTGGAATATTGTGTCCAGTTTTGGGCCCCTCGCTTTAAGAGAGATATTGGGCTCCTGGAGCAAGTCCAAAGAAGGGCGACTAAACTGGTCAAGGGGCTGGAAAATAAAACTTATGAGGAGCAGCTAAGGACTCTGCACTTGGCCTTATTGAAGCTCATGCCATTGGCCTCAGCCGAACGATCCAGTCTGTTCAAATCCCTCTGAAGGGTGTTAGGGCTGTTTAGCCTGGAGAAGAGGGGGCTGAGGGGATACCTGATTACAGCCTACAAATACTTGAGAAGGGATGGTGGGGAGGTGGGGGAAGGGCTCTTTACATTAGTGATGGGTGATAGGACAAGAAGAAATGGGTATAAGCTTAGTCAGGGGAGATTCAGGTTGGATGTTAGAAAGTATTTCTTCTCTGAAAGGGTTGTCAGCCACTGGAATAGGCTGCCCAGAGAGGTGGTTGAGTCCTCATCCCTGGATGTCTTTAAGAATAGGGTAGATGGTCTACTTAGGGATATGGTTTAATGGGGATTAGGGACAGTTGGACTGGATGATTTCTAAGGTCTTTTCCAACCTAGAAATCTATGAAATCTATGAAGTTACAGTATCTGATCATCTTTATTTAGGTTAAAACGAGTAAGTAGTTCAAAGCAGGTAGAGGGATGACAGTTCATTTGCAGTTTAGCTGGGATTTTTCTCAGGCTGTTTATATAAGAAACTTCGTAGCATGAGAACTTGTATTTGGTTTAATTTAATAGCATTATCTTCAGTGTAACCTATTCAGAATGAAGGATCACAGCGTGCAAGAGTGGCTGTACTGGATCAGCCCAGAGGCCCATTTCCAATGTGTGCATATACCCAAGGAAGAGTCTGAGCAGGCAAACGTATGTAACGCATTCTCCAACCCTTTCCCGATCTCCCACTACTTAGTCTGGAGTGTTCAGAGCTGCCTGTAAAATTTGGCCACGACTCTCACTCATTTTGATAGCTACAGAAACCTCGAGAGCAATGCCAAAAATACCTTTTTAAAACAGAAAAAAGAAAACTGCCCTGGTCCTAGTGCTGCTGAAAGTGCTAGGGATTGTGTGGTTTCAAAGCTGAAATCATCAGGGAGCACTGAAACAAATTCCAGATGTATTATTTGGAAAAAGAAAACCAAAACAAACGAGGAAAAACAACCAACAACCCAAACAAAAACCACACTTCTTCATATTTTTGGAATATGTAATTTTTGAATGCCCTGGCTTGGCAGTGCTGTAAATGCCACCAGCTGTGACAGAAATTGCTTCTCCAAAAGGCACAAGGCTGAGACTGTCTGTTTATTTCCTGCTGGCTACTGAATATCTTTCATATGGAAGCTGTGACAGCTTTGACAGAGGCCTCGTGGCTATCAGCAATGCGTTTCATCTACAAAGTCGTGTTTAATTGGGTCAGGAACTTAAATTTTGGGAAATTGGGTTGGGCAAAGGTGAAAGGCGTGGAGAGCATGTGTCTGCCCTAATTCGGGCTGTTATTTCATCAGAAGCTGTATTTAGACCTCATTAACATCCCAGTGCTTTTTTCTTTCAACATCCTCCCCCCAGCCAGGCACGTAATATTGCAAGGAAAACTTACACCATGAGCAGAATTGCGGGTATGATCAGCCCTGGATTTGCCACATAGCTGAAGATCTTGGCAACAAAAAGTGGGAAATCGAGCTCGATAGTCTCTTGAATGACTTCGTACATCCTTTTCTTTCCACTGGAAAGACAAATGGCCAGTTGAGTAGGTATTTCCTGGAGAGATAAGTATCTCCCGATATAATAATTTTATGTAGCAAGTTTCTTCTCTATTTCAGTGAGTGTCAGCTTGCTGTTGGCCACCAAGGATTTTGAGATGCCTTCATTTTAGATTATCTATTGGTCCATCCATTCCCTCCTGCATCTATTGATTATAAGAATAATCTTTGCTAGGCCAACTTGTTCCTGGAGTTAATACATTTACTTCCACATGTGGCTCCTTTGTAAGTTCTATCTATTTACCCCTCTGAAACGTATAAAAATCTACTGATTGCAGTAACTATACATTTCTGATCAATATCTTGTTAAATATGGCCTTTTCATGGTAGAGATGACTTCCCATATGCAAATTCTGGCTTTCTGAAATAATGAACCAACTTGAAGAGCTGCTAAGTAATGACAAAAATAGCAAGCTGTGATTATGTCTTCATAGGAAACTCAGTGAAAGAGTAATTTCAAACAGGATTGATAAAGCAGATGAGAGTATTCTATATGAAAGGAGAACAAATCTGTAAAAGGCTGGATTATGCAATTGACCTTCTTCTCTCCTCAGCATCTCTGGGTCTGTGAATTCAACCCTACGAGTGCTATTCCTCATCTTTAGGCTTGTTGCCTCCTGGGATCTTGCAGGATTCTGCTCAGGAAGGTGTCGGACTCTGTCTTGATGATGAGAATCAATAAAGACAAATTTGGCTAAACGGTATCCTGACTTCATTGACTGCCTCAAGCCCAGGAGAGCTGAGCTTTCAGTCAAGCTGAGAGGTGTGCCAAGGGGTTGAATCAGGCTGAGTACCTTTTGAAGGGATGATTGGGAATTGAAATAGCTCTTTCACATTGAAGATTAGTCATCTCCTAATGATAGTGTGCGTGCAACAAGTTTCTTGTCAGATCTTCTGACATTGCTCGTTGACACCTGTCCTTGTTACAGAAATGAGGGAATTTTGGTTTCTTGCCTTCTCCCCCAAGTCTTTTAGCTTTCTACTGTTATTCTCCATTAGGAAGTGGGTAACCTAAACCAGTGCATCTACAGGAACAATTTGTTCCAAGCTGGCTCCTTGCTAAGTCAGGCTCAGTGGGCCCAGGAAATGGCGTTACTCAATCAAATTAGACTTTATTGGCATGTTGATCTGATCTACTGAATGCTCTGTGCAGTGTTGATTCTGTCTTAATTTAAAAAAAAAAACCACACACTTGTAAAAAAAAAAAAAAAAAAGCTGTAACTCTTCAAGCTCAGACCTATCCATTTCTTTCTATTTTCAAGCAAAATTCAACACATAAAATAACATCTTGTGCTGCGGGAGTTCTTGGATCTATGGAAGGTCTTAGAATGAGGCTTTGGACCCCTGTTTTGCCCCCACAATGTTTCCGAGAGCCTTAGGGATGCTTCTGTCACTTTTTTTTACTGGAGGCTGCAACCTGCTGTCCCACCCCTCCTGTCCTCTGGTGCTTTCATCAGCATGTGTTGCCCACAGCTGAGCATGACCCATTGCCTCACATTGCTCAGGATTTTACCAGACCCAGAATGGAGGCATTTCACCTTCTCTGCTGGAATCCAGGCCTTCTAACTTTATGAAAATAATCCCATGTATCAGAGCAGTAAACTGTCATTTCGGGTATTTTGCTAGTACCTGAACGGTCCACAGTCAAAGGAGGGAGGCAGAGACATGATGGTGTAAGCCACAGGCAGGAGGCTGAGGAACAGGATCAACAGCAAAAGTCCCATGTAAAAATTATTAGACTTGGACGCTTTGAAGACTCGTTCATGAGGGACGTTGCTACTCATGACAGCCCAGCACTGAAAATACATGGAGGTTAACAGGCGCAGCACGTTTATACCCACGAGCCCTGGTGCGTAAAAGGATCCCATCCTGAAAAGGAAAGGAGAAAGACAAGTGCTATTTTTCTGACAGGCTGGTAGGGTTTTTTTATTTTCAGAAGAAGGGAAAAAAGCATTCATGTTGTGGCAAGTCTGCCCACAAATGTAGTTTGAGTGGGTTGGCTTGTGCTACCCCTGCGCTCCCAGACGAAAAGCCACCCACATCCATGTTAGGGTATGGTAACTCTACATTGAGGACAAGCAAGGTCTCACAGCCTCACTGCTTGCAAAGGAAGAATTTGAGTTTGTGATAAAAACTGCTTGGAGATAGCTTGGAAAATACCAGGCGAGTGTAACCAGCAGGGAGAGACCTCCCTGAGCCTGCAGAGGTGTAGTAGGGGAATGGGCAGAAATCATCAGCATTGCTCCCAGAAACCTTGCTGCCAGAGGAGGAGAAGGTGCTTTGTGCTGTTGTCTGTTGCCACAGAAGGGCAGAGCAGCTCCTGTTTGCCCTCCCTTGGGGCAGTTTTGGGACGTGCCCGACCTGCTCAGCTGGCTCTGTGCCCACCCTTGCATTGATGTGTAAGCTCGTGGTGCCCTCAAAGCCCTTTCTGATCTCTTCCCTGGCACGTGGACCATCTTAATGCGTTTTTAGCACTGGAAAAAATGAACTTATGAACGTGAGAGTGGAGCAGGGTTTGCAAGACAGTTATCTGCTGCAGTTACGCCACTGCTACTCCTCTTGGACAAGGAAGATGACATTTTAAAATTTCCACTTTTTATAGCCAAGCACAGAAAGCCAAACAATTAGAGAAACCCAAACCCAAAGGTTGTTCTAGCTATCTTGGAAGATTTCTAACTCCACTGGCAGGTTTTCTAAATAATGTGAAAAAACAGCAAAAAAAAAGGAAATATCTTACCAAATCATTCCCTGGTTGAAGACCAAACCCAAAACATTGCCGCTAATGTCAAATTCAGCGTAGGACGGCTGCATGGGGAAAGAAGAGAGAGCGTGTTGTTGCTAGAGGTATCTGCTATTGTTTGCTACTGGGTTTAAGGATGCTTATTTAAAGCTGGTATGATGGATTTCTGGGAGGGCTCCTGCTGGGTGCCTACTGCTTGAATGACCAGCAGCAGCACAGTGAAAGCAAATTTGGAAGCTACTGCATTGTGGGCTGCTGCTTCTCTATTGGTTTGGTGAAAATTGGAGAGAGATGAGGAGATGCTCGGAGTTGCTCTGTGTTTATATCTCCTTCCTGCTAATAGAAAGCTACTGTGAGCAAAGGAGCCACGGCACAGAACTGGGTTTTATGCTCCAGCTGGTGCATCTGGCTATGGACTTACAGTTCTACCCCGGTAAAATAGTAAATGTTTAAATGGTGATAATGATGAGCTGGAGGGCAAATGCTATGCCAGATACATCTATGTCCTCAGGTCTTGCAGCAGTGGGATGCTGAAGGACAGAAACAGAGGGCAAAAAGGAGAGAAATATGAGGGAATATATGACCGGATGGGTATCTGGTGGCATTTTGCTCTGTACTAGCCAGTAGTTAAAATACTGCTTTATATGGAACAACCTGTCTGATGTGGGTGTAAACGATGGTAAGTCCAGAACAGGCTGCTCTAATCTATTGATGGTATTTATTATTTTACGGAGTATTTTTTCTGATAGATTTGCTCATGATGAACTTGCTGTTTCTTTTACGTACATCCACTTTTGCACACACAAAACTCAAATGACTTTTGGCAGCTTGAACTATGTGTAAAGTTTTTCTTTTACATTTTCTTGAATTTTTTTTTTTTTTCTGCAATGCAGAAAACATAATTCTAAGAATGACGATGACGCCATTACATGTTTGAAATATCCTGCATAGTATGTCTGTTTTTCACCCAATTTGCATGTACTTGATACTGTCAGCAGTTCATAAAGTTGAAGCTTAAGATGTTTGCCTTTTATGATGAAAACTCAAAAGGAGCCTAGTCAGAGTCTTGTTTAGCTGACTGTTCACAGCTTTGGGAATAGATGGGTGCAAACATTGTTTTCTTTGTTTTTTTGTTTCTGGTCTGTTTCTACCTTAAATCTTTAGCTAGAGGTTAATATTGGCGCTTTTTTTCCCATGAAAACAAAGACAACTGTCAGTGCCTGCTGTTCCCTGCCTTGAGTACTTCAGCATGAGAAGGTTGGATTAAACAAGAAACTTATTCACTATATGCATCAGAAAAACACATATACAACCGTGCTGGTGCCCATGGCTACGTGGGGTTGGACAGCTGTTACCAAACCATCTTACATCCTTTTTCATTCCTGGGCCAGGGGAAAAAAACACAACCCACCCCTACTTGAGCACCCGTGGGGTAATACACTGAATATGTGAATCTCCCAAAAATATAGGAGAAGAAGAGGATGGAAGCCCATGGTGTTTTTTTCCTTCTGTTACTACTATGGTTGCTGCTTGGTGTGGAAGGAGAATTTTGCCTTTCTCAGATCATAGAGAGCAAACCCTCTAGTGCTGATTCATGTTATGGGCTGCAACTTAACACTAGTAATAAACAGTAGGAATAAATAACAGTCCTAATAAATAAGGGCCTTGCTTTGCTCCTTGGGTGCTGGTTTGGACAGCTCATTTGCAAAAGTGTTAGTCTGGTCATCTCCTGACAGATGATAAATGGGGTTTGTTTCTCAGTGCAAAATTGACATAGGAAAGGAGAGAGGAAAGTGCAAAGTAAGCCCTAAAGCAGCTTTTTTAAATTTTACTGAGAGTCAGAGGATGGATGTCCAGGAAATGTTTTGGCTTTTTTTTTTTTTTTTTCTACATCAAGGAGTGCCTGCCGGACAGAAGAGACTTCCAGCTGTTTATACAATGGAGATCTTAAGAATGAAGAAAACCTTGTGTGGTATTTCTAAAAGTTGTTTCAAGAAAAGCATCTAAAAAAAAAGAAGTAAAATCAAAGGCAGTTAACAAAGTGAGGGGAGGACATGGCCAGGAGGAGGAAACCAGAACCTTCAACAAGACTCTAGTCTGTGAGCACATGCAACAAGAGCAATTGCATGCTTCTTGGCTGCCAGGGGGTCCCTCCAAGCTCCAAAATCCCTCCAAATCCAAAATCTGGGAAACATCCTCTGCTTCCCCAAGAAGAAATGCAAAAAAGCTTCATGAGCAGCAAAATGCCTGCTGTGCCCTGGCTGCCCTTGCTTGACCAGGTCCCTGTAGGCACCTGCAAAGACCACCTCTACTCTTCTCCAGACCCCTCCTGGAAACCCTCCCAGTGATGCAGCTGGTGCACTGATATAGTTGTATTCTTTCCAGGTATTTCCATTTCTGTCTGAATCCATCTGGTTTTGTCAGTGTTTGTGTGAGAAACAATGGACTTGGTTGTTTTGGGTTGGTGTTTTTTTGTTTGTTTGTTGTTTGTGTTTTGTTTTTTTTTCATTATTTTGTTCTGTATTTGTATAGCTCCAGTACTGGCTGCTTTGGTAACATAGTCCTTATGAATACCAAAGAGTCCAGTGCTGTTGTGTGTTATGCACATGTGAGAGGGGAGGGAAACACTCCTTGCTCTGCTGCAGCAGAAGTAACACCAGCTTCCAGCATTGATCAGAGGACGGTGCTGGGAGTAAAGTGTGCTACTGCTGGCGGAGTGGGCAATGAACAGAAAGGTCCAGGGCTTTGAAAAGAGGAGGTGAATATAGAAGGGCCCAAAGGTGTGGGTTATAATGACTGAATGAACATCAAATTAATTTTTTTTTTTAACTTAACTTCGTGTTTTAAAGTCCTCAAGTGGGTGAGAACTGCGTTTTTGTAGGGCTCTTTCTGGGATGGAACTGACTGATCCAGAGAAATGATGCAGCGACTACCTACACCAATTAAATTATCAGACAAGACTGGAGGACCACTGCAATCATTCAAAACCAATCTGTTTGTAGCATTTGACCAAATGCCCTAAATTACTCCTGTCTTCTCAGCTATAAGACATTGGCTTACAAATCCAGCCTCTAGATCCCAGCACCAACAGTAATTCACAAATCTGACGAAGCAGGCTCGGATGAAATCTCCCACCAGAATGGTTATGTAGGTCACCAGGATATCGGACACGGTGAGCCTTACGAACTCCTGCAATTTAAAACAAGGAAAAAACATTTAGCTCCTATAATTTCAGTAGCGCATTCAGGACTATTTTTTATTAAGCCGTTTGTCTTTATATGACAGTAACCTTCAGAAAGGCACATTGTGAGACAACATCCTGCCTGTTTTAGACATTTGACAGTGCTTAAGCTTCACCTCTGCTCTTGAGAACCATGAGGTCCATTATGGCCTTTAGCCCTGATAGATGCCGTTAGTGTTATTGACTGTGCTATATGTTGTGGCAGCACGTAAAATGGAAGCAGAATCTTAATGCTGATGTTAAACATACAGACACCAAAGGTAATTTTGGTTGTCTATAGCTCTACTATGACTCAGCTCCATAACCTTCATGTGGACTCCTGAGGAAATTGCTCAGCTGTAAACAAGAGCTGTGAGGAAGCGTAGAGAGGGGAGATGTGCAAAACAAGAATGGTAAAATTGTGGGTAGAATTAAGACTTGTCAGATGGGGATAGCTGGTGTCCCAAAGATTAAAAAGGAAAAGTACTGACAAAAAAGGGTTTAAAATCTGAGGGTGTGGAAAACAAGGATGATGACTCAGCTGCACTGAGGATCAGCCCCTTTGAAGGAGTGACAGTGGCTGGTCTTTCCCCTCTTGACTGAAAATCACTTGACCAGTGAAGACCTGTTGGGTGTACACAGTAACACATAGCCACAGAGCTTAGTAGGTCCTAGTGTCCTGGTTTTGGCTGGGATAGAGTTAATTTTCTTCTTAGTAGCTAGAGTAGCACTGTGTTTTGGATTTAGTATGGGATTTGGCATGGGGAGAATGTTGATAACATACTGGTGGTTTTAGTTATTGCTAAGAAATTGAGGACTTTACAACTCTCTGTGCTTTGCCAGTGTGCAGATGCACAAGAAGCCGGGAGGGAGCATAGCCAGAGCAAAGGACCCACAATCCCTGGCTTAAGATGTGGGCTTAGGCCCCAATTGGCCAATGGGATATTCCATATCATGCAACATCATGCTCAGTATATAGATGAGGATTGACTGGGAAGCTTGCTCTCATTTCTGAGATTGTGGTTTTGGGATTTCTCTCCTCCAGGATTGCTAGCCAGGGACGGGCCAGGCATTGGTCAGCAGGTGGTGAGCGATTGTGCTGTGCATCACTTACTTGTATTGTCCATCATTCATAGAATCATAGAATGGTTAGGGTTGGAAGGGACCTCAAAGATCACCTAGTTCCAACTCCCCTGTCATTGGCAAGGAAACCCTCCACTACACCAGGTTTCTCAACGCCTCATTCAACCTGGCCTTGAACGCTTCCAGGGATGGGGCATCTACAGCTTCACTGGGCAACCTGATCCAGTGCCTCACCACCCTCTGAGTGAAAAATTTCTTCCTTATATCTAATCTAAATCTCCCCTCTTTCAGTTTAAAGGCATTGCCCCTTGTCCTATCACTACATACCCTTTTAAAAAGTCATTATTTTAAACTATTTTCTTGTCATAATCACTTTTAATTTTATTTTAATTCAGTTATTAAATTGTTCTCATCTTGACCCAGGAGTCTCCTTCCCTTTACCCCTTTGATTCTTTTTCCCATCCCCTGGGGGCAGGGGAGGATGAGCGAGTGGCTGCGTGGTGTTTGGTTGCCGGCTGGATTAAAACCACGGCACTTAGCTATCTATAGCAGCCAATAAATAATTGCTTTTACATTTTAAGTTGCACATATCCTACTTGCAGAACTCCTTGGTGCATGGTGCAAGTTGCCCAAAGTGGGAAGGTTGCCGGTTGGGTTTGTCATGTGAAGCTCAGAGGACTTGAAGTCTGTGCTGCGTGCATTTCAGGGGGGCTATTTGTGGCTAACTGCTCTCATCCAATGGCCTCGTGATGCGTTAGTGGTTGGGATGCATCAGGAGTTCCCTTGGGCATGTCCTCGGGTTGTTTTTTTTTTAATGTTCTCCAAAGCCACTCTGTAACGTGAACTGAAGCGCAGCAGTAAGTGGAGAAGACAGGTTCTCGTCAAAGGCGCAGTTGTGATGTAAACATGGCCACGATGCAGCATGGCTGCAGACTGCCCAGCCTTTTGTGTGCTTCACAGAAAACGCCAGAGCTGTGCATGCCCTGGGCATGTCCAGCCGGGGATTTCATCACCACAGCTTGAGAACTCTGCCCCAGGATTTATACCGCCTTGGTGCCACTATGCGAGAGTCAGGAAAAGAGATGCCATTTGTGATTTTCCTTCAAGCCTGGAGATGCTAAAAACATCAACTAAAAAACCCTCCAAATCACCCCAGATGAGCCTAGAGACTTACTACATAATGAATTTCTTACAATTCCGACGGTTGTCTCCCAGCAGGGTCCCCTGGGCACGTCTGCAGGATCAAGGGGCGGTGGGGTGGCAGTGCTGCCATTCCCCGCAGACGAGTTGTGGTGACCAAGCAGTGTCCAGCGTGTGATGTTCTTCACCATGTCCTCTTCAGCCAGCTGCAATGAAGAGACCTCCCAGCCAAAAATATCAGGAAACAGAGGCCCCAGAGGATGCATTTGGAGAGACCCAAGGTGTTGGGTTTCGCCCTCCTCCCTAGCAGTTACCACCCATCACTTGAGCATCTGCTCACAACAGAGTTGTTGTGCTGGCACTGGAAAAGGAAATAGCACAGAAACTCCTTCCCTTTTGTCAGGAGCTGGGGAACAGCAGCCCCTCCAGACCCAAAGCAGCTCTGGACACGGTGAGTTTTGGGGAGCTAGCAGGCTGATCCCTGCATGTGGAGGAGCCAGACCTCCTTCAAGGCTGGTCTGTGCAGAGGGAGCCTCCACCCAGTCCACCTTCCTCACTTTCTTCATTGCTTTTCAGGCAGAGCAAAGAGTCCTGATTCCTCCAATTCTTCGCAGCTTAAAACAGACTTATTTTTTTCTGTGGATCAGTTAGACGTTTATCCTTTCCTGCAGTTATCTGCCTGCAACACGCTACCAGGATAATGTTAAAGAGGGAAGGGCAGGGGAAAAGGATTATAAACTATATCCTCGGGGTCTGCATTAATAGAAATTGCAAACGGTGTCAGACGGAGAAAAAAAAAACGAATTATCCTAATAGGCAGGCCATGATTATAGAAGACAATAACCATTCTCTTTTCAGGGTTTTAAAGAGAAATTGGGGACTCTCTGGAAACCCCTCTGGACTGTGAGACTCCCTGGAGCACTGCAGCCAGTGGCCGCAGGGATGGGCTGCACTCACCCTTGGCTCTGGACAACGCTAGTGAATGTGGCTTTTCGGCTCAGCCTTACTTTTTCATTGACATCATCCATCAAGGCCAACAAAAACGTGTAGAGGTTCCCAAGGAAGAGCGCGAAGATCCGCCCCAGCTGCCATTTCAGCCCGATGCGGGGATGGTAATTTTCTAGTGCAGCTATGGTTTCAAACAGCGGAGGGCAAAACATGCCCAGCAAGGACATCACAATTTCAACCTGCCGTGTGAGGACAACGAGATTAACCGCTAATGGTAACAAGAGCAACTGGTTTACTTTGAGCAGGACCGGGGCTGCCAGCAACTGGTTGGAACTTTCTGAAGGGTTTGTAAAGGGGAGGAAGCCAATGCCAGCTCAGCTCCTGGCTTTGCTTAGCACATGGGCAGCACCGCCTCAAACTTCGGGGCTGGGTTGCACGGCTTGCTCTTGCGGGTGCACTTTTGCTGTTATCTCAAAGGGATGAGCTCTGAGGAATTTGTTCCCTGTCAGTCCAGACTCATGAATATTTAGGTTCCTCACGCCCCTCATAGTACTGCTTGCATCAGCTCCAAGGTTCTTATTTTAGTTTCAGAGGAAGCGCAAGAATTGGCTTGTGTGCGTAATTAGTCGATGCTAATGTTTGTTTGCCACTTTCAGCACCTCTGCTTTTGCCATAAACAGTTACAGATTTGAATGGAAGCACATCACGGACTCAGTTTTGCTCAAGAAAATATGTCCTAGTTGTATTTTTGTTCTTCTATATGGTGCAAGACACTAAGTTGTACTGTGGTCAATGAGGTTGTGGGCAAGTCAGTGTTAGATCAGGCATGACTTGCAGGCTCTATTTTTTTTACAGCCCTATGGTGTCAGTTGGCCTGCAGAGGACTGTGTCTGTGCAGCTGCTGGCTGTCTCTGACTCACGGGTCTCTTTTTTGTCCTTTTCTTTCCAGGAGAGGGAACAGTACCCGGAACTGCGTGTATTCAGGTCTCAAGTTATCACCAGAAAAATCTCAGATATTAAACTTCTTTGTTGTTATTTAAATAGACTTTTTTCTTTGGGAAAAGTTTACTGAAATAAATGAAAGCATTTTGTGAGAAAGTGCTGGCTTGCTAATGTTTTCTGAGGGAATTATGAAAATGTGCGGCTTTGAATTTAATTTGGCTTTGATGTATAAATACATGATAATGTAGTGTACGTTGAAATTAAGCCTTTCTATAGGTAGAATTTTTTTTTTTTTTTTTTTTTTTTGGTGTGAAGAGTTTCAAGATTTGAACTTCTTATTTCAAACTCAGACACAGCTTTCTGGTACAACAGGATTTCTAAGCATTAATATGCAACTTGAAGTAGACGCTTTAAAAAACAGACAGTGATGTAAGTGCTGAAAGCCCATTGCCTTTTAGTGTGATTTATTGTAAGAGTATTTTTCTCTCTTTGCAGGCACTGTTAATTTGTCCTAGAAACTCTCAGTGAGACCAATGTGCTTCCCAGCTAGAACAAGTACAAAGGTACTGAAAGGGATGGGGACTTCTGGGCCTTGGTAGGGCACCCCTCTGCCTTTGATGCTGTTCTCAAGCTGTGGCAACAATCATGCTGAGGCCCAAAGCAAATTATCACAGCAGAAAACTGGACGTAAAGTTTCCTTACCTCATTTCTTTCATACCACCCAATGTTTTGCATTTTGGAAAATGTCTGGGAGCGTTTCACCACGAAATAAATGAGGTAGCCGCTCCCGCACAAGCAGCATATGATGAGGACGTTGGCCAAAACTCGCAGAAACCTCCTCAGGTGGATATTCTCATCCTTGTTGCTTTCTTGCTCGTCCACGATAGACTCCTGAAAAAACAAGGATGCTCACAGAATTGGAGCATGTATCTCACAGCACCGAGCCTAAAGGCAACATCGGATGGTTTTCTACCCTATGAAGTGTAATCTCATGGTCTTCTGGCTATACTGATTTTGGTAGTTTGTGTTAGGCTCAAACAAAGCTTCACACAGGCATCCTGGTTGGACTGAAAGACATCGAGTTGCAAACAGCCTGCTGTGTCCCAGGGGAATGTGGCAGGGGAGTTGTGCTCTGAAGTAAAACAGATTTTTTCAAGTCCTAACAATGTTGCTGGGATGACCCATGGCACGGGAGCTGGAGCTGCCGTCATTCGGCACCATACCCTGTTCCCACAGGGGGATGCTGTACAGGTACCTAGATTTCCCCTTAAACCTCTGCCATGGTGAACGCTGGGAGTGTCCCCAGAAGCAGGCAGAGAAATGCCAGTTAGGGTTACCTTGAAGCTGGTGGTGATGGATGCAAACTTGTTGTCTGCTGTCTCCGGGTTGCCAATGAGGTAGTCCCAGCTGGTGAACATTTTCCAGCTGAAAACAAAGTTGTCATCATCCCCATCTGCTGTACTTTCGTTGGCGTTGCGTGCCATCCTGTGCAAGGACACATGCGATGGCAAGCTCAAGGAGTGTTTTGCAGACCCCCCGCGTGTCTTTCAGCTTTGCAAAGCAGCACTGGTGGCTTGGGATTGCTGGTGGGTAAGGAAGGAGGGGGGTGACTGTTCTTGGGGTTTGAGTGCAACTGTCTATCATGTGCCATGGGACTTTAGGTTTAAGGAGGACTGAACTATCAAAAGGGGTCTTCAGGGCTATGCAGGTCTTGTATTAAAAACAGTAATGTAGAAAAAAACTAGCATAGGTGATTAAAAGCAGGTTAAGGGTTCCTTCCACCAGCTAGTGCATGAAGAAAGTCTATTTATGGTGCTTCTGGGTCCTAGGGTACAGTATATGATTATGGCTACCTCTAATTAGTTAAGTTTAGAAAAAAAAAAATATCACTGGTGCTGTCCAGTACACCCACTGCAACACAAGGTTTTAGTGAGATTTCAATAGCTGCATAATGCTGGAGCCAAAGAGCTTGTGGTGAATCATGCAGGGAGAAAAAAAGGATTATTCTTGTTAATCAGCACAGGAGCAGATACAGCTTTTGCTGTTCCCTCTTTATTATTTGATCCCTGAAATCCTTCTGTAACTCCCACTAGAATTCCCAGCCCCAGTCCCTCAAGGATTGAGGCACAACAGATGCTGCAATTTCATGGCAAATGTACAGCAAATCCCCATGTCCTGCTCCAGCCAAAGGCTCAAGAGGCTCTTTCTGCTGCACAGCAATAGGGCCTGTTTCGATAGCGATACGAATCCATGGGCTTATTCTTACTTGCAAATGAAGGATAACCTTTGCACGGTGTGGCCTCTAGAGAGAGACAGAGAGTTTTATTTTTGGCTTTGCAAAGGCTGTCTCAGCGGCGGGAGGTGTCTCGGCTGCACCCTGGGTGCCCTAGAGATGCTGCGGGAACCTCAGTAGTGCCCGGGGGCAGGGCACCAGGGGCACGAAGATTGGGGCCCCGCTTTAAAACTCCACTGAATCATTTGGAGATGCATCAAAAGCTGTCTAGTAGTATTTGGCTCTTTTCTGTACCCCTTGCATCATCTGCATAACTAGTGTTGGCTTTCATTGCAATGAAAAGATGGGAAAAGGAGCCTTTCAAATTTACTGTAAGTGAAATCCTCCTTTGTGTACAGAATCCACCAGTTTGATGGGCCTGTAGTGATGTCAGAGGAAGGGTTAAAGCCATCCAGAGAGGAGGAGGAGGAAGAAGAGTGCTGGAGAAGGAGGCGGGAGGGTTGAAAATAATGCAGGTGAGAACACGGTGGATACAGGGGACTGCCCACGTCCACCCAGCCCACCAGAGCCAGGGTGGTGGATGCTGAGGCCGAGTGCACGAACACAGCAGGCATGCAGCCCGCTCTGCCCTGCGCTCCCCCAGCCATCCGGCCAAGGCTGGACCAAGCTGTGGGCCATGCACATGGAGGGATACCCAGCTGCGAGACACATCTGGGTGGATTTTGCAGAGGGGGCAATGCCAGCTGTACTTACGATCTTATAACAACCATCAGGCTGTAGCCAAATACGCTGATCCCAACCATGAAATACGCCATCGGTAGCCTGTACTTTAACCAGCCGATTGTCCGCTGGTTGTTGTAGTAGCCATAAAAGAGCGCTGAGTATTTGATGTAGCCCTGGAGGAAAAGCAAATGCAAACCTTTGTGTAAGCCATGCAGCTTTTCTTCCGCAGGAAAGAGGTTTCTGGTAAAAACTAAAGATTTAAAACAAGGAAAATCAACTTGGAAAAATTTTTAGTGTCTCATTTTCAGCTGTTTGTTGCCCTGTCACCTTTGAGAGCCACCTCCTAAGAGCTTATCCTCTTAAGAGAGGGAAGAAGAGGAAGAGCACATCAGAGGATACTGGCTCAAAATTAAAATGTGGTTTTTATCCATCACTGTTTCACCAATCCCAGAAAAACCTCCTTCTTGCTCTTTGTGGCTGTAGCCCACCTGCTTCTCTAAGCCAGTATCAAACACTCAGATCTTGTAGAAATGCTGTAGCAAAGGGGTTTCCCACCATGATATGAAACTTTTCCCTTCAGCTAAGAGGCAGCTGACACTCGATACCCTGCAGATTTAGTTCCTTTTACAGGCTACCACCTGCAGAGCGAATATAACTAAAGACTAAAATCAAAGCATTATTTTCCTGTGGAAAGCAGAGCTCAGGCACGATATCAACCGTGTTGTCTCACTTAGATCTATATTTTGCTGTACAAACCATTGGGCATTCAATGAGTGTGCAGATCTCCTAATCTGCATTAGCAATCTCTCCCTACTCTTCCGTCATTTCTCATCCAAGTTGGTGTGTATCATTGCATATTTTACTTCTCTATTTTTCACCTGTTGTCTTTCAGCTCATAAGTTAAGTGTAGTTAGTCAGTCTGGCCATGACAGTTGATCAAGTTCCCCTCTGATCAAGCCTTTGGAAAGACCAAAATTGAGACATAACTCAAAGCTTTTATCAGAGGCTGAGTAATGGATCTTGTTTAAAGACATTGAATAATTTACATGGGAAGGGACCTTTGGAGGTCATCTAATCAAGCCCCCTGCTCAAAGCAGAGCCACTTTCATAATTAAGTGCTGTGGCTCAGGGCCATGTCCAGATGAGTTTTGACGATCTCTGAGGATGCAGATCCCCCAACCTTTCTGGGCCTCTGTTCCAGCGTTTGACTGCATCTGTTTAATCAGTTAGACTAAGCTTCCCCAAAGCACCGGGTTTTTCATCCCTAATGTAATATGTAACTTTGGTATCCCTGGGTGCCACATCAGCTGCGCGTTTGCCCTGCACAAAGTGCAGTGCCAGAGGTACGGGACGACTTTGCAGGTGTTTCGCCAGCACTGCTGAGCGGCTTGGGGAAATGTGGACAGACCACAGCACGGCTGCTTGAGGCTCGTGGCATGTTATGTATAACGTGTGTTGGGAAGGTGTGACAAAAAAGCCTCGTTAAGTATAAAGATGATATTCCTGGAAGGCGTTAGTGAAGATTTTTTCTCAGGTTGTAATCTCAAACCTGTGTCTTCTTGATTCATCAAATGGTGAGGACTGAAAAATGAGTTTCTTTGTTCACAGCATCCAGCATGCTCTTCAAACACCATTTGTAAGACATGGTGTCTGGTGTCCAAGTGAGATTTATTCCTTTCTACTCCTCTGGAAATCCATGATGTGACCTCCTTGCTGCCAAAGCATATATTTTCCTGGCTCCTTTCTCTTGAAATGTGCTTTTCAGGATCATGGTATTGACTGTTTTATACCTGCTCTGAAATATGTTTCCCCATTGCACCTCTCCTGTGGAGCATGCTGGAATAAGCATCTATTCATTTTCAAAGGGTAAGTCTCTGTGAAGGGCTTAATTTGACATCCTCTGGCTGCAGAGGGTATAGGTGTACATCGTTGCCCCACAGCTGGAGGTTGCTTCTCAAGCTTGTGTGATTGCTCCCCAGTGTCAAGCAGCAAGGGAGTGGGTATGGAATGGGGACCTGTATGGCAGAGGGGTTCAGAGGATCAAGTCCTCTGTGATAGCAAGGGAATGTGGATGTATGCACCAAGCCACAGAGACCAGCAGGTCATGGTAGCCAGCCTTTCATGCAATGGTATAGCCTCACCCAAGAGCAAGTTTCCTTACTGATATGTGTATAGTTTACAGTCTCCCAGACAAAATCAGCAGCTGCAGTTCAGCAACACTCCTGCAGAGTTGTTGTTTGTTTGTTTGTGTGTAGTTTTTTTGTTTGTTTGTTTTTCTGGACAAATGAGTTTAAATGCTGCTTCTTGTATTTTCATGGTGTAAATCTCAAATGAGCTTTTCATTCAGTGCAATGTTATTTGAAGTGTTGCTAATTCACCTCTGAATTTTGAATTCTGGGAAGCAGGTGAAAGTGCTGAGAGAACATGAGCTAAAAGGATCCTCAGTAGAAAATGGGTGGTGAATGAAGGTCTGTCCCTGTCAGGTTCCTGGACACACCAGTATTTGGAGCCTTATTAATAAATTCATTTAAATAATTTGGCTTACATGAAAGTAGTTGTTTGTTTTGTTTTGTTTTTTAGACAAGGAAATTTACACTTACATGGTAAGTGTAAATAGTTTACTGTGATTTATTACAGAAGGACTGGGTCCCATGCTTGTAATATGTAGGCCAGCACCAACAAGCATTTAAGAAATATTTCCAGAAGTAGCAGCATTGAAAGTCAGATCCTAATGTATTTGCCACTGCAGAATCTCTTCGCCCCCTGCACACATCTTTCGGGGGGGCGGGGACCTGGGAAGCCATGCCCTTCCCAAGGCTATGAGCAAGCTCAGTGGTATGGCAAGGTGCTCCCTGCGCGTGAAGGGGGTCCACAGCTTGAACTTGCCTTATGGATGCACGATTGGGAGCAGCTCTTGCGTTGCGCCTGCACGCTGGCTGCTTTTCTAGTTGGAAGTTAAATAGCTCTGATGCATACAATTTTTTTTTTTTTTTCCAGAATAAAATTCTACATTATGGGTGTGAGATGATGCTATAGATTTCTGTAGATTGTTCTATGTGAATTTAAAATACAGCAGAAATAATTTATTTATTGTGTGTTTTTTCCTCTGAAGAAGGATCGTTTTTTTTGTCTGAGTTCACAAGATAACTCTGTGAATGCGGTTTAAGTGAGTTGCACTGAGCTCATCACTGGGCAGTTTACATAGTCACCTGCTTCTACTAATGCTCATAGAAAAACTTAACTTTGGCTTCTTGTGCTTCATGAATAAAAATAGCATGTAGATAAAAGGACACGAGTTTCCTAAATCTGCTTTGACTGACTTCAGTGTGGAACTGTAGAACTCCACTGACCTTGGCGGATTTTACTTTGTCCTGTTGCATCTCATTGACCTGGACAGGCAGATTTAGGGCAGCGTTAGCCAGCCGTGTTGGGCTGTGATATGTCCCCTTTGGAATAAAAGTGCATCTGCTTTGTTCCTGCAAACCTGAGAAATATACGGCTGTGTGTGTTTGCGTGCATACATGCACACAGGTGGCATACACCAGCCAGCACTTTTGTATATGGAAGTGACTTAAATCCATATGCAGGTGCCTGCATGTGCACATGCTGTTTTGGCCAGAAATCTCTGGAGATCCACAAAGATTTCATGGCAGCAGGTGCCTTCATCTTCTGGAAGAAATAGGTGCATTGCTGGTTTATCTTGGAACAAATTCATCCCTGTAGCGCTACTGGCTTCTGAAGGGTTTCGGGATGTATTCAGCGGATCTCTTATGATCAACACTCCTGTATTTACCTCAAAATCCCAAAGAACTGAAAAATCCATAGCTGTTGCTTGTTCAGCCCGGGGTACGGTTTTCCTCGGCATGCTTCCGTATGGCATTCCCATCAGGACCTGATGAACATTAATAACAGTGATGTTTGCATAGTATAACACACTGTACAGTTTTTAGCAGTTCTTTTCTTAATGGGTCCCTTTTGGTTTGCTTTTGATTGGTTTTCCTTTTGGTTGATTTTAATATATATTTTATTTCTTGATATCAGAGCAGCCATTTAAAATATTTAGAATTCATTTCACTCAAACAACCAGAGGAGTTCCCTTTCCCTGGTAACATCCATTGCGCAGGAATTATTTTGCCAAGAAACTGTGTCCCTCATCGAACAGCTCCAGTTTAAACGTGCTCCAGTTTAAATGTCCTCAGTTTAGCAAGAAGTTCTTTGCTTGAACTTCATGGGTCTGATGCAATAAAGGGATTAGCTTTATCTATTTATGCAGGACTCCTCCTTTGAGAGAAGTCAAGAGCACTGGGTCGATCTTGTGGTATGTTTTTTATTATATAGTCTTGAATTGAAAAATTATCTCAAGGTGAGGCAAAGGGCAGTTAGATTTGGACAAGAAAGTGTATCACAAAATGATGCAAAGAACAGTTTTCATGGCATAGCCTCTCCTGATGGCACCAACGCAAAGAATGTCTTGCAGCAAGTTCAGCAGCTATTGAAGTCCACACTGAGAACATCCAGGGCTGTGGAGAGTTAATAATATATCTACAAGCAGACTCCAACTGGTGTCCATATCAAAATATCTCATTATCATTCATAGCCTAGAAAGGTCCTAGCATATCATCTATCACTCATTTTTTAGGGCTATCTAATTAATTTCAAAATCATTTAGGATTATATGTTTATTGCCCAGCTACTCTCCATATCGTAACAGCTCAGTAGGCAATGAGTAACAGTATGCATGCTTTAAAGATGAAAGCTGTTTAGTCTTCTACCATATGCACAGTTCCTGACAAAATACATTTGTATTGTTCGGTGCTGATGGTTATGTCTCTTCATCCTGGGAGGAAACGGAGCTTTTACTTCCAATAGTGTGAGCAACCACATTAAGGAGAACAAAAGCATGGTCCTCGGGAGAGACTCTGTGCTGCATTTTTGCTCCATAAAAATCTGCATGGAACAGAACAGATGCCACTGTCTGCAAATTGCATAGCCTTTGAAGACTGCACTGAGTAATTTAGCCAGAGCTGTAATGGCTACATTAAAAAATTATTCCATAAACGATCATATAATGTCGGCCATGAGATGCTTTTCTTTCTCCAAGAACAGCGAGAAATAGAAAAACTAAAAATAAAACTCTTCCTTGTGAATCATCTGAATTAGAAGTACAGAAAAGGGATATTTCCCAAACAAACGTTAGTTGGCAAAGTGTTGGGAAATGGTTTGTTGCTTCCCTTGATGGCTCCTACTATGGGCCTGTGCTGTGGCTGCCACCCTGGGACCATTCCCTTCAGAGAGCCCCAAAGTGGGGCTTTCGTAATTGCTTTCAGAGCATGGTCCTTTTCTTACAGCTCTTACGGACCTGAGCTTGTGCTTAGGATTCATAGGTCATGTTTATGACTTTAGTCAAACGTAAAAGTAGCTTTAAATTAGGGTTTTGATCTCCTGTTTCTGGGGCTGGATGAGCAGGATCTTTGACAGCACTTTAAGTCTCCTGATTTCAATCCAACTGTTGGTTACTGTTAATAACAGCCTCATAAGTCATTCTTTCTAAATAATTGTCCTTATAAATTTCATTTTTCTAAAGAATCACCTGTTATAAGGCACTTGTTTGTGCTATCAATCTCATGTTCGTGTTAAGAAATGGGCAAGATATTTCTGAAAGGAGAAGTAAGCACTTACCTCTGGAATTATAACCAGTCCAAATATTAACCCAAAAAGGACAAGATTTACTCCATACATCCACCGCAGAAATATGAAGTAGGAAGCGACTGAGGAGCCAAAGTGACCTTGAACAAGAAGATACTTGGTGGTTAGGAGATTAGGAGGGTTAAACTGTTGTCACCAAGACCTGGACCCCTTTACCCTCAGGTCTCCCGTGGTGTGTTGTCCAAGACTCTACTGACAGTCCCCACCGCTGACAGAGCTGGCAAAGCCTGGTGCTGCCCAGGGTCCACGTTTGAAACTGGTGCCCAGGGTGAGTGGAGACTGGAGACCAGGGAGCTGGAGCATTGTTAGGATGAAGGCAAAGGTGTCTTACAGAATGTTTCACCGCCACCGCGCTGCGCAAACTTCCACTTACTCTCCACTTCTTTTATCTTCATCTCCCAGGGTATGCACTGGGTTTTAAAATTGTCAAAGTCTCTCTTAAATTTCACCCATTTCTGAAACAAGACAACATCGCTATGAGCAGAGAGGAGCAAAGAGGGAAGCTGCTTCATTTGCAGGGCTTTCTAATGTCAGGGTTTGGTAGCATAGCTAGGAGTGGGTGTGAAGTCCAAAGCAAAAACTCTGGTCTGAGTCTGAGCTTTTGGAATATTTCAGAAACTACCATCAATCCAAAAGCACCTCACCCTCAAGTGTTTGCGTTCATTATCTGAATTTTAACCTTCCCAGGCTCTTGGAAAGCTCTGGTTGTGCTATGAGTTTACCATATTATATAGGGGTGGAAAATTCAGACCTAGCTCTGGATTGAATGAATTGATGCAGAACCAACTCCATTTAAAATGAATTTTATCTGATAAGATACTGAGCTTGAATCCTTCCTTGTTGGACCAGCAGTTAAACTCCCATTGATTTCATCATCTCAGGCCTGGCTCCGTTTTTCAGTTCTTGATATAATCTCCATGACAACATGCAACTTGATTACCAACTTCAGTCTTAAAACACAGTCATTATCCCCCTTGTTGTCTCATTAACAGGGAAGATGAAGTTTTGCAGAGGTCCATGGGTCAATTCTAGAGTTTGGCATGGCCTCTCTCCTCTTTAGGGGTACCTTGTCTCACAGATCAAGGTTTTGGAGATTGCAACCAGAAAACCATATTTTATCCTGCTCTTCCAAACCCTCCCTTGCTTCAGGGAAGGTGGCAATCAGATTCAGGGGAAACTTCCTCTTGTTCTTTCTGTAATCATCACAGATTTGAAGCTGGCTGTTTTGTTTGTTTGTTTTTTTTTTTATGTGAGCAGGAAGTTTTATTCTGATTTCCTGGTGTCTCTTTTGCCAAACATGGGTTAATAAACTCTACCACAAATGTACCCCAGCTTTTCCCTGACATCATTGCAGCACTTACCTTTGCCATCATCATCTTATATGCGTACAACTTTTTGCCCTTCCCTTTTCCCAGAGCTCCTTCAAACTTCTCTACAAAAGCTTGTGCCTCCCTAGTCGGAAAATAAACAAGCAGGTTATTGAAACAGCGAAAGCGTCTTTAGCTTTTCACCTCTGCCTGCACTGGTGGGAGAGCAGCCATGCTGCCCTCCCCATGGGAAGGCAGGGGTTTGGGCTCTCTGTGCCCCATGCTGTGTCTGGAGTGCCAGCTGCTATCCGCTGCTGGTGTTGCTGCACTGTGCAGGGCTTGCACACTCACCCAGGACTAGTTAATAGGTCCCCAAAGCTCCCATGCTCATGCAGCAGAGATGTGCCCTAAATCTTGCTCCCTGCTTTTCCCTGGGTGTAGATCTAAAGCCTGCCTGTTTCTCTTGCTTCAGAGCTCTTCCACCCTGGCAAGCCTGTTTAATTTCTCTCTCCTGGTGCACCGGTCAAGAAAAAAACCACATTTTCTAGTGAAAACAACTCCAAGAGGATCCAGAATTTCCCTCCACAAACACCTCCTTGGATGAATATCAGAGATGTACGGTTGGCCCAACAAGACAGTCTCAGTGCCAGAGAAATGAGTGTACGCTGGTCAGAAGTAAAATCAAGCTGCAAATTGAAAATAGTTTTAGAATAGAATTCTAGGGGAAATACAGAGAAAAGAACCTAGGTAGATACTATTAGAGTATGCTGAGTTTGTGAATAAGATTATATCATATATTGATGTTGGTGATACAGCTTGAGAAGAGATTAAATTTAAGGGCTCGGGACTTCCTTTGCAATGCTAAACCTGTGGGAAAGATTGACTTCTACTTGGTAAAAATAGCTGGCTAGTGCAGCCTGTAACCTTAGGAAAATCACCTGCAGCTTTATTTGCAAACCTGAAGTGAGATTTCTAAGTCTTGAAAGTATTGTTTCTCTCTCTTTCTATTTCATATTCCTCATCTGTGCAATGGGGCTAATCTTTTCTTATCTCAGGGTTGAGTTTGTGCAGCCAAAATAACTAATGAATGTACAGCACTCTGAGAGCCTTTCTGGAGACACCTGCACAAGCAATGCAACAGTTTTGTTTCGGTTCATTAGTGGGTTGTAATGATTGCCATGGTTCAGGGATCAGACGAAAGGATGGAGGTACATTATCAAACATGATCCCAGGCAGAATCTTAGCCAGGATCCTACACCAAAGGCAAAATGTGTCAGAAATAATACTGCTTTGCTCTTTTTTCTTTTCTTGCAGAACTTTGGACTTCGAGGGTCATAAGATTTTATTTGTAATGAGCTCAGGCTCATAGCATGCCTGTGAGATAGGAAAGCTGCTTTAATACAGTTTCCCTGAATAGATCTTTACCCAGATTTTTAGAAATAATTGGCAATGTTCAAGGCTTCTGATTTTAGTGGAAGATGGAGCAGGTCTTGGCCTTCAGGGTGTAAAAAAGAGAAGCAGAGACATACGGTGAGTACCAGCCTTTGCAGCCTGGTCACCGCAGCTCTGAGCAGCCTCTTGGCAAAGATGGATGGGGGACATCACCGTTCCCCATGGGGCTGTGTATGCCTATACGACACTATTTTGAAAGCCCTCATGGTAGAAAGGGGTTTCAGATGATGTTTTAACCTATAGAGCTGGGATTTGAATCATTGCCTTCGCGTGGGGATGATTTGTTACGAGCTGGTCCCTGTCGACCTGTGGCTTTTGAATTCCCTGATCAGCCCTGGCCTCCTCTTGCCCTGCACTAAGGGGTCTCTGCAGCTGTCCGTGTTGTTCCCACATCCAGCGTGGGTTGGGAGGCGATATTATCTTTGCTTCACAAACCTCTGCAGATAATACGGCTTTTTTTCCAAGCAGCACTGTCTCAGGAAGTGTGAAGTAACATGGCACTTTGCTGCTCTGATTTCTGTCTGACAACGGGCATGAATAAGCAAACCAGGACACCGAGTTTGCTTTTACAAGTATCTTGACAGTAGTGAGTCGTTTGGTTTTAAATACAAGGGTAGAATGACCTGGCCGTGGGTATCAGTTGAACAGATTTGCACCTTGTCCGTTCTTTGGTTACAGAGGCTGAAAATCAAATTCCATATTTTAATTCTGATCATTTAAACCCAGGTAAGCTGGCCAGGCTCTGCCGGTCACTTTTTCTGAGACCGGGGTGTTGCAGTAGCAGCAGCAAAAATGCAATTTCTAGGAAAGGCAAAGTGCATCTGACAGTCAGCAAAGATCCCAGGGGTGCAGGTTCCCGGTGTGACAGTTACCTGAGCACTGAGAGCTTCTTCACCATCCTCCAGGGCTTGTTCCTCATGGTGGAAATCAGCTTTTTCTTTTGCTCCACCTGCTCCATCAACATTGCGAGCTCTTCCTCTGACAGCGACTCCTCGTCGGATGAGTTGGAAGAAGAAGTACTGGGAGAGACACAAAATGAAGGGCACAAAATGGAAAGTCTTGCTTGGGCTGGGCACACTGCCACTGGCCCCTGGGGATCCCAATCTGATGTGGGCATAGTGCCTCACTGTCCCCCAGCTTAGTGTGATGCCAGCGCAGCCCCTTCACTTTATTTGTAATACAGGCTGGCTTCCATCCAGGATAATCTAAAGGCAGTTGCATTGCACTGTAACTCACCTGACATTGTACTTTGGACCATGCTTCAGCTACAGAAGCATCGCCTAGGGCTGGAAAAGTGTTTTTTTACGCTTTCAGAGGGAAATGGAAGATGTGGGGAGAAGCAGAGGGTTGGGACAAGCAAGATTTGGAAAAGGAAGAGATGTGAAAACATGAGATATCCATTTTAACCCGTCTGTTTCCATAGACCAACCAAAAAAACGTGCCCAGATCCAAGTCGCTCAAGCTGCCTTGTTTAAGAGTGCTTTTATACCCTCAGCTGTACGCACAAGGGCTCCACTACCTGCGTGGATCTCATCCTGGATAAGAAATGATAATGACAGAAGACCTCAGACAGAGTTTGGCTGTGTGGCATTTTATACTACTCTTTTCCACAGTTGTATCTCTTTTGTGAGAGCCGTAACTTATTCGCAGTCTATTGGTTTTGCAGTTCTGACCCATATGCCACAAGCCCATGGCATGTTGATACTACTGTACTCAGGGATTGTTTAATTACCTGTTTTTCCTGTCTTTCTTCTGGTTGTTCTCCCCCTCCTTTCCTTTCTTGTTTGTTTTCTTTTCTTTGTTTTCTGACTCCTTTTGATCTTTAGTAGGAGCCTTTTTGCCTCTCTCTCTCTGCCGGCTTCCTTCCTCTCCTGCCTTTTTCCCATCGCTGTTTTTCCTTTGGTAGTTTTTTCTCCTAGAAGCTCCATTTTGTTGGCTACAACTGTCTTCCTCTCTGCTCTCATCTTCTTCCTTGTCTTTCTCTTGCTTTTTCCTTTCAAGTCTGCTTGCTCTGCCAGTTTCCCTGAGGGGCTGTTTCTTAGGTGTCTTGTCCTTTACTTCATCTTCTGCAAGACAGAAAAAACCCAAATATTTTGGGAAACACTTAGCTTTCTGTGCTGGCGAAATAAAGTTTAATCAGAGAAGCATAGTCAGCAAGGATGCCTGATGCAAACCCTAGCAAAGTCAATGAGCCTGTTGACCTTGGTGGGCTTTGTGTCATACCCCGTCCAAGAACCACGTCCAACTCTTTGGTTATGCAACTCCCACTTAAGACACTATGGCTGATTGTAGCACATCAGTGATGGATACATGACCATAAGAAAACTGGAAATAAGTTACAAATGTAAAAGCCTATCCGCCAGAGAGCACAGATATCTTCCTGACCTGTAAACACTCCAGAGCAACAGAAACAGAAATTGCAGTCGGTTATACAGTACGTATTGTGCTTGTTGGTGCAATGTCTTTGAAAACTCTTTAACCCACCAAGGGACAGAGGTCTTCTATTTATATAGAGAAAAGGTACAGCTTAGGCAGCACCAGGTCTTATTTCTCTGAGTTTTCTTTTCTATAGGAAGGTCTATATCCAGAGAAGAAAAAAAAAAAACACAGATAGTCTCTGCTGCACGTTTCATTCTTATTGGCATTGCAAGATAAAAAACTCATTTGTCCAGAAGGCAGAAGTGCTTCCAGTTTGAAGGATTGAAATGGAGCATGATTTAATTGCAGAATATTATGGAAAGGGGAAAAAAAAAATTAAAAAATCCCAAGCCCCTCCATCCCTTTTACCACCAAGTACATTAAAATCAATAAAATCAGTAGTAAGCTTTCCAGAGTCTTTTGGCTTCTAATTTTCCAAAATTTCTGACTGATGAAAATTAAGTGTGGTTTTTTTTTTTTTTAAAAAGTAATTTGTAATTTTGGCATTGATTTTTTTTCCCTAGGGTTGGAGAAATTGTAACAGAAGAAGGAAATTGTGCTGGAATGGGATACAGAGTGAAATAGAACAGCTTAAAAGGTGAGGAAAAGTAGAAATTAGAAAAGAAAGAATTAGAAAATTTACATTTTAGAAAGAATTAGAGTATTTACGTTTTTGTTTTGATGAAAAGTTAAGGATTAACAACAAGCAAATAGTTTTTGCTTGCTAGTGGTAAAAAATTAGTAAGTAGTGGTCGTCACACTTGTCATTGGGAATGAGAAGAAGCTTTCAACTAATTTCTCAGGAGCTGTTAGGAGGTTACTATATAATAGACCATCTCAGCTGAATTCCAGTGAGGGATCCAGGTTAAAGGACCACCTACCCTCTTTGAGAAAGTGCTCATTTTGTGCAGCCAACTATCAAAATTTTAATTTGCAATGTATCAAATATTAGGTTAAATGCAGTGCATATATTTGTTACTTTTATCTTATTTCCTTGTTTGGCTGTATGGGAAAGGTGGATATGATTAAAAAAAGACATCACAGTCATTTGCCAATTACTTTCTCATATTTTATGAATTGTACAGACACAGTCGTGAACCATTTTTGCAGCATCTACACTCATATCACCTATCCAATGCTGTTATGATCTTACCTCTTAGCTATCTTTATTTAGTGTTATAACCCTACTCCTTAGCTATTTCTCTTTACTTACTATACATACAGGGTTAAAGCTGGTTTTAATCCTGTCATTGGCTTTTCCTGATTTTCCTAACAGCCCTTATTAGCTTGCCTCCAATCCATTCTCATTTTTACCTTCTCGTGGCCATGATTAATCAAGATATCAATGTGTTACGGTCTAAGCAAGCGTTAGAGGGAGGGCAAGCAGGACCTCGGTCAGAGTGGTGCTTTACTGTGATGCCTCATTTACTAGGGATGATCATCAAGGAATGTGGGTTCTGATAGCCTCCTACGCTAGGAGCATGGATGAAAGCGGAAAGACTGCTCAAGAATGGTGTTTTACATATCACTATTGTAAGTTAAACCTCCAGGGAAAAGTCTGCTTGCTTACAAGTAGCTCATGAAATGGTTACTGTCATAGAGCAAGTCACAACCCCGAGAGAGAAAGTACCACCTCTTATATTTCAAACAAGAACACATTTTTTAATCTCTACATTACCTTCACTCTCTGTGTCACTTTCAACTTGTCCATCAATCTCTATTCCGGCTGCAAGACAAAGAACAAAGAGTAATTGCATTCGTTGCTGGGATTTACACAAGCGATGCTTTACACAGCTAGTCCTTAAGTGCCAGCTGAGCTCGGCAGAACATCCCTTATTGATTATACATTATATTCTTTTCCTACAGTGACGCTCTTAATGTTTACTTTAGTTTGGTAAATTGACAAAAGTTCCCTGCATGAGCACACTGAAATTGCATGATCTTTAAGAGATGCAAAATGATGTGCCCGGAAAGTCATGAGACATTCTCTCAAGTATTTGGCAGCATCCAAACTGAAAAGATCTCACAGTGATACCAACCATCTTCCATGATGACCTGTAAAGCACATTTCTTTTTCTTCCCCATGACAGCCTCCTGTCTTTTGCATGGACACCGTAGCTGCTGTGCTGTGCACGCACCCCTCAATCATATACAGGTTACTCTGTCTTCCAGTGCCTGTGCGCTTCTCTCCTTGGCACCGCAGACAGATGGACACATCCAGCCACCGGTGACCTCCTGCTTGCGAGCCATGTGGGCAGGGGAGGGCAGGAAGAGGTGGGAGAGGCAGGGAAGACCCGGGCTCTGCCTCACCCTGCCCAAACCCTTTCCTTCCTCTCCCTTCTCCCTGTGAAAAAAGCACCTGTCGGCATTACGTTGCACTTTGTTAATTAAACATGAAGGAAAGCCCTTTAGTGGATACTTGGTGGTATCGTATGAAACACAGACAGAAGTCATGTCTGGTTCTGACATAAGCATGTGGCTGAAGGGTTTGAAAGGATCAATTTTCTTAATGCCATATTCTTTACTGACCTGCGTCAATCTGTGTAACCCGGTTAGTCATCCTACTGCTTCTTATTAAACCTCTCAGTGTGGTGCCCCTCGGGGCATGGCAGTGGGTCACCTTTTGTCTTCCATGTGTGTCCTTTGCAGGGGACTCATCGGCTAATAGATGCAGCAAGGAGTCAGGAATCAGGACACCAAGATCTCTCTTTCCTTTGCTCCTCTATTCTGTGTGACCTTTGCCTACTCATTGCTCTTGCTGGTAAAATAGGATAGATTTTCCTTCTAGGTGCTCTGAGGCTTAATTAATTAATGTGAGACCCTCATTTGGAAGGTCCTTTAGTATTGCAAAGTATTGTATTGCATGCTGCAGCTCACAGACTTCCGATGGGCTAAGGAGAAGTTTGAGCAATATCTGGTGTAAAACCTGCAGCATCTGACCCAGCTGCAGCTTTCCCAGGGAGCCGGTGCATTCCCAGCGCAGGGTTTCTCCTGCAGGTGTGCGGATCTCACTGGAACGGTTTCTGAAGAGGAAAGCTTACCCTTATACTGTCCATGAAGTCCACTGCTGACCCTCAACTCACATGGGCATCCCTTGGGGGACCTGGTGTGGTGACAGTATGCAAAGATTTTTTTCCAAGTGTTGGTAGAGAGAGTGTTATTTCCCCCCTTCCTTCCTAAAGGTGAGGAATGTTGTGGAGATTAACTTGAGGCTGCTGCCAGCAGTGACTCTTGCAGATCACTCCTGGTCTGGGTCAGGTGCAGCACCCGAGGAGGTACCAGCTTGAGTGGGAGGCCCTCTGCTTCTATTTGCTTGCTGAATTTTGATCAAAGGGCACCTTTCAAGTATTTTAAGTCAAATTCCATGGATTGTTTGATCTGCCTATGACTTTAGCTCTGCTCACCTGAGCTAAACACATAGTTTATGGTATATGTCCATATGTTATTAACAACTCTAAACCTACAAGTTCATTACATAGGGCATTTCCACTGTGTGTTCCCCACACCAGTGGGTTGGACTGGGGCTGAAGACAGCAGTAGTGGTTTTTGAAGGTCTATAACCCTATGCGTTGATGTGGTAGGTTGAGAAGTTTTTCCAGATGTGATCACTAGGTTGTTGCATTAATACTGCTCCAGGCAAAACAGAGCGATTTGCAGTTGCTGGAGGCTACTGGAACGGATTTTCTGTAGGTTACTTCAGTTGCCTTGAGCCTTAGCCCTACGCATCTCTTTCCCAAACAGATGATCTGGGGACTTCATTTGCCACGTTAAATGAAAGCCAGGTTTCTGGAGAATCAGGCGGTAAGAGGCAAAAGGGTTGCGGATGCCCATCACATCCCCGCAGTGTTGTGCTTGGTGCTGGGACCGCTTCTGCCTCAGGATGCCCTTCTTCTCCACCAAGGCTTCTCAGATGCTGTTTGCATGCTCAGGGTATGCTCACATGAGCGGCTTGTTGCCAGAGGTGTGCGGAATGCTTCAGAAAGGAGCGAGTTGAGTGTCCTGGTTTCTACCCTGCCACATGGTCAGTAGCTCACCCACCATCTGCGCTGCAGCGGGGTCAGCTGCAGGCTCCAGACCTGCTTGTGCCACTTGGCATACCCATAGGTATGGAGCATGTGATTTTGAAAAGTGATGGGGACTGAAGATTGATTTTGCTATGTCTTTGAGACCCATATACCCCCTTCCTGAGAAGTACTCTGCCTCCCAGAAAGGCAGCTCATGAGGTGCTAATGCACCAAAATGTGCGGCTGGGTAATACCTTTTCCTCCTACTCTGAGCCGAAACGCCCATCCTTTGCTTTTATAATCTGCACTCCAGCTCACAGAGGCAGTGGCAAGGTTGTGATGTGTTCATGCAGTCACAAGGGCCCAGGGCATAATAAACTCGGAGGAAATCTGTGGTGGCCACGTAGCACCCTTCACTGCACGGGGAGGGGTGAGATCACCCTGCTCCTAGGAAGAGGTGCTGGTGGAGGGGTCTGAGTGTACGGGACAGAGCAGGAACAGTAGCTGTGCTATACAGTATGGTATGGCTGTTTAATGGCTGAAGATATTTGCAGGAAGCTCTGTGTGGATGTGGCTTCCCTCACTCCTGCACCTTACACTGTCCAACGTAGTAAGATTGACCAAGACAAAATTGCCCTCTTCCAGGCTGGGTAGCAGCGTTTTACACTGGCATAGGTAGGGATCATTATCTTTCACACTTCCAACTTCACTGGACTCCATCACACAGAAAGGAGGGAGGTGCATAATGGCTGGCAATTATTTCCTAATGAAGAGGGTTATTAAGGTGAATGCCTAAATGCTTACCCTTAAGGAAAACCCCTGTGTTACCTTTCAGACTCAGCCTATGGTACAACAGACCCCTTTGCACACGATCTGCTTCTCCCTTTGCCTTAGAGCCTCAAGATGAACATAAACAAAATAACTCTCCCCAGCTGACACCATTATCCTCCTCTGGAAATGAGAGTCCACCTGTGACTGATGTGCAGCCACACAAGGTCGACGAGAAACCTTGGGGTCTTTGTCCCTGGTGGCACATGTCCTCGAGGGGAGAGGCAGAGCCACTGTCACATTTGAGGGGGGCCAGGAAGCACCAGAGGGTGTGATGGAGAAGACAGGCTGGGCAGGTGAGCCTGGGGAGCCCCCAGGAGCAGGGTTCAGTGTAACAAAGGGGTGTCATGCAAGCTGAGGCCAAGAAGAAGTGCAGCATGGTTAGACCAAACCACAGCCGTGCCAGCATCTCTTGCCTAGCGTGATTTTTGGTTAAGTGCTTAGAGACCTGTAATTTGTCCCGTATATAGCGATGTTTATATGCAAAGTTGAATAATTCAGGGGAAAAAACTTGAGATGGGATAGTCTATAAAATGTTGTATTTGAAGCAAGAAATGTGTACTTCATTCTTCATTTCACATTCTTTCGACACTCATCTTTCTCTGAAAGTAGAAGGTGCGTCGTTAAAGGAAATGTATACAAAAACACCGCAACAACCCCCAAGAATGGCGAGGTGGGGAGAGCAATGAGCACTTGCCGTGTCCGTGCATGTGCGTCACACAGATGGCAGAACCCGAAGCAGCTCTGTGCAGGGCTGACCTGAGCTTGCACAGCCCTGCAACGGGGAAACGCTGCCATTCTTCAGCGCCGAGCACGCCACCGTCCTCAACTCAGGAGCCTGATTTTCTGAAGAGGATAAAGTGTCTTGCAGGGTTTATGATTTCTTAGGATTATGGATCGGGTTGGGGGGGGATTAATGGATTAGTCTTCTACCTCTGAGTTATTCCACACAAGGTATGAATAAGTAATGCAGGACCATGAATCCAGCTATTATTTATGTAAATGTCAGACTTTGTATGCAGAGTGTGGGCAACTTGTGGAGTTGTAGCGCTGATTTTTTGTCCTATAACATTTAGTTTGTTCCTCTTTACGTTGGTGACTAAAGCTATATAATTGGACAGTTTGGAGTTTTAACATATGAGGACGTTGGACTTCTCACACACCTCCAAGCGTTAAATAAAAAGCAGTTGTGTTATGGAGAGAGGGTAACTGAATCCTGGAAGCACACATAACATGCTTCTAAATGCTTAATGAGCTAGTGTTTCTCCCTTTCTTGCTTTCTGATTAACATAGGGCTTTAGCTAATTAATCCATGGATTACATTTATTCAATATTCATCTCATCTATAAGTAATTTTCACTTGAGAAGGTTTTTCAGTAATAACAATAATACCTGACCTGTGTGGGTATATTTTGATGAGGACCTAAAACTTGCAAATTGCCAGAGCCAACTTTAAAGATATATCTGAGACAGACATTTAAAAGTTAAAGATCACTTCCCAACACTGACTCAGTTCTGTTGGACTGACTGTTAAAGAAAACTAAAATTTTTTTTGAAAACAACATAATCGTGTTTTCCAGGGTCTCTCAGGCATGCTTAATAAAACTGGATCCAGCTCAGCTGTGATCCAGTCTGGATTTTGACCAAAATCTGGGCTTTACTTTGCAAAAAACAAATTTCTGGCTATGCCATGGAAATACGGCATGGGCTACGTGTTAACCTGAGCATATATGCATGCAGATGTCATCCTCGCCCTCATGTAATCTCTGCAATGCTGCAGTGTTTCTCCATACTCGAGTATGAGGGTCTGGAGCGGCCTCTGATAGAGCAGCATGGAAACGCTTCGACAGCAAGGGCTCATCAGCAGGGCTCACTGCAAGCATGTGGGTAGACAGTCTCATTAATTTGACATAATCTGGCAAAGAAATTTCTCAGCTTTTTTAAGGCCGCCGACAATAGTCCTCTGGCTCCCATAGAGAACGGTGGGCCTAGACCATGGCTGGAGGCAGTGAAACGGTGCCAAACACACGTCCTGTGCTGTTTGTGCAGCGTGGGCGCTAGTTACCTGTAAGGATGGTGCAGTCCCACTGGGAAAAATTACATGAGACTAAAGGTACAATGCTCGGGATGTTCAGTGCAGTGCTGCACCAGCTTCTGCTTTGCCCACAGAAATAACCTTTTTCTGAATAATCCTGGCCCAGAGCTCTCGCTTTTTTCTTTCTTTCTTCTTGCTATTTCGTAGTGTTTTCTCTTTGGCTTTCGCTTGCCTCATGCCTCAAGGCACGGCTGGGAGTTTCCTGGGAAGGAGCCTAACAAGCCCCGTACAGGCTGTGAGTCTGTATTGCAGCTGAGGAGCACTGACTGCCAGAGGGCTGCTTGTTTGGGTGGCCTGTCAGGAAGAATTGAACCAAGACAGGG